CTCAGAAACCTTTCAGCTAAGTTCTTTCCATGTTTAATTTTATTTTAATTCCGTTTTATTATCGCAACTGGGAGATTTATTTAAGTAAGTGAACTCTGAAACGATGCGCTGTAAAGGAGCCTTACGGAAAAATTCTCAGAACGGAACTACTTTTACGGGCCACTAGTGTTATTTTCTAGACGGAAAGAAGACAGACCCCTTAGTCACACTGCAATCCGTGACAAAAAGGATCAATCTAGCCATATATATTTTTGCCTTTTTTTTTCAACCAGCTGCAGCTGGTCACGTTCGCTACCGTGTGAAATAGATTGCGTGACTCAGGATAAAGTACCAGTGCTATTGAAAAACCATTAAAGAGATTGAATTGGTCTATTGATAAGCTGAGTTGTAAAAACTTGTTTGAACTTTTTATCTTGGATTTATTTCAATTCTTTACCTTAAAGGATTTACTGGGAATGTATAAAATCAAAAAAGTCGGAAATGATAGCAATTGCGCTTTAAAAAATTAAAAGTGAGATATGCGTCAAAGTGGTCTTACGGAAAACTCTCCCAACGGAACAGTTTTTACGGGCCACCTGTAATTTTTTTCCCGGCAAATAAAATAAACAACCTGCTTTTATTTGGTTATATTTATTTACTTGACTGAAATATAACAGACAGCATTTGACAAGTTCAAAGTTTGCTAATATTAGCCTTATCACTTTAGGTCCGTAAATGGTTCAGCTTCCGAGGGTTAACTATTTTGTAAAAAACAACATTTTTAAACAAAATTTAGTCCGGAGTAAATTTTAAGAGATGCCCCGCAAACTGTGTAAAGGACATGTTAAGACAACGTTTGGTACGTCCATACCAGCATGTTGAACATGTGCCAAATTTCAAGCCTCATGGCCGCCGCTAAAGGCCCCGTGGCCGAATTTTCAAGTTTTGCAAATTTCGAAGAAAAGAAAAGGAAATCGAACCTTTTGATGTCATTTCCGAAAATAGTTAGCCAAAAGGGTTCTTTTGGCCAAATAAGAAAAAATTCGTTATTTCGCTTCTGTCGGCCGATTCTCGATATTTTCGGATTTACGCTCCTAAATATTTGTTAGATATGATATGACTTTGGCTGGGAACATTTGCTATATGGGATTAGTCACTGATCAAAATTACAAGAATGTTTACAAGATAATCAAAATGTGTAAGGGATAACTGTTTTAACTTAAAAGTTCTCTTTCTCGCTAAGGGAGCGCAGGACCTTCAATTATCACAACTTTCCTGTCGGTTTTTCTTCACGGCGACAGTACGGTAACACAGCTTTAAACAGAATTCATCTTTGCCGTTCATTTCTGTTGCACTAAGAAAGTGAAAGAAAAACAATAATACATTGATACACTGAAGGATATAGAAGAGTTGATATAGTTAAGTATGCTTTGATACATTTGCGTTGCTTTTACGCTGACCTGCTTAGTGAAGTGAACATTATTCAATCTACATCACCACCTTCCAAGTCATCTTCTGAGTCATTCTCTGAGTCACTCGGGAGTTGCACAGCTGCAGCATACGGGTTGCAACATGATTCGTCCGCCTTGCACGAGCATGCTTCAGTGCAGGAGAGGCCTGTACTTGAACAGGAGCAGTTACCTCGACAGTAAGATTTCTCGCACTTGCAGGTAGTTAGCTCCACAAGGCTCCTCGGCGCAAGCTCCTTCGTCATGTACACAACTCTCAAGGATCCGTCTTCTAGTTCCCACCCGTGCTCTTCGGGACTCTCCAAATCCTGCATTCCAACGAGCTAGCTTCTCTAGCTGTATACCACGTGGCATGATCGATTCAGGTGCAGCTTTAAGCAGTCTGACGTTGGTGGCAGCATTTCGTTATTGGTGTTTCGCTGGCAGAACATCAAGTATCGTAACTCATCTGTGGTGCTGGTGCTCCTTCTTGTAACAGGATATAGGTGACAAATGAAAGCTTCGGTACTAGTTACCGTCATCTCATTCAAGTCTTGCTGCCAACCAAACAAACCAAGAGTCTTCTGGTGCGCAGTGCTTTGTTTAAGGACCTTCCAAGCTTTTTTCTTTCCGATTCCGGCTATGCTGCTCGTTGAGTCACACCCAGTGAGGGCATGGAATGCTGGCAGAGACTGACAGATTCTATCTCCTAGGCTTCGTTGGATAGTGTGCACTGGGATATAACGTTGAAGGTCTCTGACACCTTTGCGGAACCATGATTCTTCACAAGCGATATTGGTAAAGTGGGCTATACAGAGAATGAGGACGTCTGTATCAGGTGACTGTACCACTATTATTGCGGCAGGCGACTGTTGCACAGTAAGGGCAGCATGCAAGATCATCCGTGTATCCGCCTCCTCGTGATTCGACTTTAGATTCTCAACAGCTTCAATGGGACATGACCGAGTGATGCTGACTGCCTTTTCGCCATTTACAAATCCTCCTCTAATGATCAGTTGCTTTCCCTGTGGCAGCCTTTCTTACCCAAGCTTGCAAAATGATGACGTCAAGAAACCACATAGGTTGATTTTGTTTTTGGGGTTCTGGATGTACTTTGTCCATTGCTTGGGTATTGGCGTGGAAGGGCGGGTTAACTGCACTTCAAGAGCAGCGGACGCTCCTCATCTTGAATGATTTCCAGCTTTAATTGAAGTTGGCCAATACTGATCGAACACGGGGTGGACAGCCACGCAATTGGTGGTGTTAAGTGGCGCTGTTATAATGATGAAGTACTTGGAGGATAGCTCGCCAAATGTACTTGCTCCGCTAGACTTGTGCATCTGGATTACGGCTATGCCATCGAAGATATACACTACGTATTTTGGCTCAACTGGAAGTCTCGGTGGAGTAGTGATTCCGTCTTCCACAATAAATGTCATGACACTCTTCGTAGTCTTCCTTAGGCTACCATCTTGATGGAATAGTCAGTACGGAACTGGAGATAACTCATAGAATAGGACTTCTCTAAGATTAATCTGCCGTGCGTTGGCTGCGATAAGAGACCTCCCGAATAACTCTCTGTCAGCTTTCACCGTGATCAGCTTTTCATTGGCTGCTTTCAGGCGAACTTTCCGGGATGTTGTCTCAAAGGTCTTCACTTTAAGACTAGTAACAGGATCCCAGGAGCTGATTGTATTGCTGTTGACACGTTTCTCGATAAAGGTTTACATTTGCCCTCTTCCTTTCGTGGTGGATGCAACCGAAGCATCGGTTAAGTCACTAGGCAAAACGACAACAGTAGCGAAGTTAAGAGGATCTGTCATATCCGAGGAGAAGGGATCTGCCATCAAACCACTCGTGAAACATGTCAGGAGCCTCTGGACGTCGTGCTCGTCTCGTTTCACTCTCTTCGTTGCCGCTCCCTTGTGGGTGTTGTGATCACTGGTTTGTAGGTCATACATCTGCTTCAGCGCTGCGGTGATGCTTGCACGCTCGTGAACTCTCAGGAACCATGTGCTTAGGGCTGCCGGGCTCTGAGATGTGCCAATGATGCCTCCCTTTGACTTAGAGTCAGTATTTATAGATTGTTGTAATGCCATGTCTGTCCATACTTGCGCAAAAGATTGACTTGAGCGACTAACAGCATGCCCACCGGATATAAATTCCTGGTGAACGCGTGGGTGTGCTACCTCTACTCTTCTAACTGGGCCAAGTCCTCAGAGAGATCATCTCCAAGCTGATGGACACACTTACCCACATCTTTCTTCTTCTCAAAGACAGCAACACACTCTTTAATCCTTTTCACAAGATGTTCTTCGTCTAGGGTTATCTGCCCGCCATAATTGCTCTGGTACCAGAGAAGAAATGCACGCCACTTCAAACGGAAGAGCGCTCCCATTGCAATTTTGTGAGTCCCAACACCTCGATTACACGACTTGCCTTTCATCAAAGCCGATGCTGTGTCAGCTGCGTATACTTCTGACTCAACAAGCAGATCGTCAAGCCCAGAACTTGCGTACTTCTTCCCAAGGAGTTCCAGGTAGTTTAACGCAATATGGAAATCGCCCATACGAATGACAAGATCTGAAATTTCATTGGGGAACCTCCATTGCAGCTGCTTCGCTTTCACGTAAATCGCAAGATCGAATGTTATCACAGTGTCTTCTTGGCCAACAGTGTCAATGTTTTATTCATGTGAAAAGTCATGATCAATTTCGAGAAAAAAAAAATCCGGTTCTTCCCATTGAGAAATTTCCGTCTCTTGTACTACCCAGGAATACGATAATGTTACAACACCTTATTATCCAATTTCCGCTCTATTACCTCCCAAGCGGTCGCTTACGGGAGGTTAACCTCCCGTAAGCGACCGCTTGGCAGATAATAGAGCGGAAATTGGATAATAAGGTGTTGTAACATTATTGTATTTTCTTTTGCTTTTAAGAAAGCAAAAGAAAATTGCAAACTTTTAGCTCTGAAAGTGATCGCGCTCGCCTGCGAGAGGTGGTCGCTTACAAGAGGTTCCAAATATAGTGATTTGACTTGGAATCGTTTGGTATTTTGGACACCTGGTCGCTGAGGAGAGGTGGTTGCAACCGGAGGTTCTACTGTACATTAACAACCCTAACGCTTCAGTGCTTTTGTCTGGACTTGCTTGCTTAAACAAAACATGAAACGCTGTTTTAATTCTGTTTGCTTCAAGTTGTTGTTTATGTAACTTCAGGTCTGATCCAGGACTGATTATTTTGACGATGCTCACGTAGGGGCCAAACCACCCCCCAAATATTTCGTCAGTTCTTGGGTATTTCACATTATTTCGCATTGCTTAAAAAGTATTGACTCTTTCTACACCAAACTTGGCAGATGAGCAGGAGACCTATTGCCAATTATATTTACGTGAAAAATATCAGTAAATGTCAAAGTTGTGACGTCACAGTGATGACGTCAAGTTTTTTGTCACTTTTGAATTTTTTAATATGCATATTTTTTACAATGTGTTCGAAAGAGCACATCAAGGGGAGTTGAAACCTGAAAAAAT